TGTCAATGCAGATTACCACCGAGCCACGTACACACGTTGATAACACACGCACACGCACACGAAATCTCGAAATGCATTCATACAAAACTAAACGCGCACCGATGAGTCTTGAGCAAACGCAATCGCGATGGATCTCAGCGTAAATCATCGCTATCGTGAGCTGTTAAGATCGTCGGTGCCAGAGTCATCGAATTTGTTCTTCTATTAACGTAACGTTCTTCCACGAGCATATCTACAAAAAGAAAAATACGTTAAACTGAGAGGATTACTTTCGCGTATATTGTGTATGAGTTTGTCGAACAATTTCGATTTTCTAGAAGAATAGAACGTGGAAATTTCGCAAAACGCAGCATCGCACGATGACGAAGTTTCAAATTCGATGCGAAGTTTGTTGTGATTTCTATTTTTTTCGAGAACCTTGAGTGTTTCAACTATTCGATAGCGATTCTCAGTAGAAATTTCAAGTCTGAATGTGCGCGCACGCACACATACACACACACACACACACACAAATATATATATATATATATATAAGCGTTATGTATGTAGAGCACCGTGTATACGCGCGGAGGTTTGAATCAAGTTACCTCCGGGCGTGTACATAACCGACGAATTGTATATTATATCCTTCGCGTGAGAGGAGATGGAAGAAAGCAGGAGAAAACATGACGTGTATAAAATTGCTGTGATTTTATCCACGGGAAGGCACCCGGGCGTGTTTTTACTAAGGAGAGTCGGTATACGATGTGCGCGATTTCGCGAATGTTCTGTGTGTGAGTGAGTGTGAGTGTGTGTGTGTGTGTGTGTTAGAGAGAGAGAGAGAGAAAGAAAGAATGATTGAACGTGTATATACGGCGCTCACCCGATAGACGTAACGCTCTGGCAATAATAATCGAGTTCGCTCGATTAATCACGCGTCTGCTTCGTGCTCGCGGCATCGAGATCTGTTCAATTACCGTTACTTGACGAACCGATACGCTCGCGTTAATAATGAGAACGAGATCCGCGCCGTCGACAGATTATTAGACGAGTGCGCGATTTCAATTTTTCCCCCAATGAAATTCAAATTCGACCTTAACGTGAACATTTGAACATCGGTTTTTTTTTTGCCGGGTGCGTGGGAATGAGAGTGCGCGTGAAAGGGTGCACGTGTGTGCGTGAGTGGCGTGCGATGTAACGCATGAGAGATAGAACGGCTAATGAAGGGATGAGAGAGAGAGAGAGAGAGAGAGAGAACCTATCGTGTGTGTTCGAACGAGAAATGGCTCTGTTGTGTACGTAGCAATTATAGAAACCATGTCTGTGATTATACTAAGAATAGAGCGACAATATAAGCAATTTCCGTATGTAACGACCTAAACACGAGCGGCGTGTGCGCTTACTATACATACCGGTATGTAAATGGTACATATATATGTATCACATATACACGTGCGAGAATTTTATCCATAAATATCGCGCGCTTTCGGCGTTTTTAATTGGGTCGTCGCTTCGATCGGAAGTCGTCGGAAGAGTCGTCGCGTCTTTGTTATTCCGGCACGGTCGTTTTTTGTTCCCCCTCCCTCCTCCTTTCCTTTTTCTTTTCTCGTCTTTCTTCCGAAAGTAAGCGTCCCATTGTAAGAAATCGATTAATTTCGCGAGAACATTATCACATCGGAAGCAAACTGTGTGCAAATTCGCTTTAAGCGTCGGAGGCTCGAGACGGCGACTCGTTTAAAATCGCTGAATGCGCTCGCAAACAGCGGAAGGACGAGATCGACCTCGCCTCGCTTATAACAAACTCCTCCGGTCCTCTTCGACTCTGACGTCATACGTCCAAATAATCGGATCATAATATACGTTGAAATAATCGGATCATCTGTGTGTGCATTCGTTAACGCCACCGTAGTAGCAAATCGATGTGAAAGAAAAAAAAAATGCTTTTGTTATTACAAACTGTTGTATGACGTCGGAACAAGGGACTTTGTAGAAGACAAAAGTGGAATAGGGATAATCGTTTTTCTTCTATTTTTTTTTTTTTTTTTTTTCCGACATATCGGAGGAAATATACTGCGATCGTCCATATCGGCGGCTGTAAAACACCAGCGATCTCGAATGTATAGTGCTTTTCTGTCGAAAGTAGAGTGCGGGACGTTAGAGAAAGTGTGAGAGCCAAGCGGTGAGATCTCCGCTGCGTCGTCCTTCGACGATTATTATTTTACCGCTGACTGCTAACAGGATACGTTCCTTCCCCTTTGTTTTTGGTTTCCACCGAGAAACGTGGATTCGAAGAAGGGCACGCTCGTCTGCGAGAATTATCCTGTACGTCTCTACGTTAATATATTCATCCGTTCCCACATAAACACACGTAAAAAAAACTATAACATAAATACCGACGAATGCTAAGGGAGAGCGACAGAGAACAAGAGAGAGAGAAAGAAAAAAATGCGTTAGAATGAGGAGCGATGAGGAGGTAAGAGAGAAAGAGGAGAAAATGCGAGCATATACACATTTATTTCGCGAATAAATTGTAATTATATATATATATGCGCATATATTATGTATACATAAGTATATATATATATACACACACACACACA